CTTCCGTGTATCCAATCTCTTCCTAGGAGCACGTTGTAACTAGTAGGACCATCTATTACAAAGAAGACAGTGGTCCTAGTAGTCGTACCTATAGTTATGTCTAATGGCATAACTCCCTTAGCTGAAGTTGCTCCTCCATTGAAGCTAGTGAGGATGACTTCTGTAGGAATCATGTCACCCTCTGTCTTTGCGAACTTCCTCATCATCCTAGATGAAATGGTGTTTATAGTTGCTTCATTGTCGACAAACACTTTTGCCACTGGGACGCCGTTAACTAGAGCTTTAACGTATAACGGCCTCAGGTGTTTTGTCAATTTCATGGCTGGCCGTTTAAAAATAACCTTTTCGGCAGCCTCTATTTCTACCTCTTGCTTGTGTTTTGTCGAATTATCCCCTTGTGATAAGTCGACGTGCAGTATGTCACGCTGATCCTCTGTCTCCTGAACTTCCTTCTTACTTTTTTTCTAATGCTTCATCATCAGTTATCCAACCTGTGGGAGGGGGCATTATTCTTGGAGGCGACCCATACTTTTCAAAGCGAGGCACTCTCTTCTTCCTTTTGGGTGTCCCATACAGTACGTAGAAATCGAAAGGACGCCCAGATAGCTCCCCCAACAAGTCTACTTCGCGAACTCCCTCTTGATATAGTTGCTTAAACAGAGTATTGCGCGATACTCCTCTCTTTTTCCTTTCTGCTTCCAGGTCAATTTCTTCTTCAATGTCTGTCATCTCATCGTCCTCTTCATCGTTGTAGGCCTCTCCAGAAGTCTGGCCTTCTTCACATACCAGCACGCAGGCTTCTCCTTCGTTGTCCTCCCTCTCTTCTTCCTTTTCCTTATTCTTGAATTCATTGGCCAGTAGGTAATTATTGGCCACGACAGGAGGCAACGTACCGAATTGGATAGCAAGGGACTGATTTGGATCTTCTTCGTCCCTTTTGTCCCTCTCAAACCTTGATCTCCCAGAAGAGGTTTCTGGCAGTTCCTTCATTGATTCATCTGTACCAGTCTCTTTACTACCTTTGAGGACATTCTGATTGGCTACCTTGAGTAGTAGAGGCGCTTTAGGATGTGGCATTCCTTGTTGCTGCCTCATCATCCGTCCGTAGTTTCGTTGGAAACGCCTTTGTTGGGTCCTAGTCATCTCAGCGAAGGGTATTGCCCTTCCTGCACTGTACTGGAATGAATGCCATACATTTGGCCGACGAGGTTGCGGCCTAAATGTTCTTCCAGTATCTGCTGGTCTGAACTGCCTTTCAAAAGGCGGTCCTCTATAGAATGAGGTACCTCGCCCTCTACCAGGCTGAATGTTTGGGAAGAAGGCAGGGCGATGAGGATGCTGCCATGTCCCTGGTTTCTCCGTGTCTCCATTTACTTCCCTTTTACACCTTGCACACAGGACGTTTTCGTCCTTTTTTGGTTCTTTCCTTTTGATTCGTTCGAAGACACTGTGATGTGTTTTAGTATCCTCTTCTCCATCATCTATGACCAACTTGAATTTTGGCAACTTGTTCCTGAATCCAGACGTTACCATGTTTACCCCAAGTGGCTGTGGGAAAGGATTCTCGTCCACTGCCATCTTTTTCTTATCATCGAACATAATTCGTCCTGATTCAATGGCATCCTGCAATACGTGACGGAAAACCAAGCAATTGTTAGTCAAATGTGACCATGTATTATGCCACTTACAATATTTTTTACCCTTTATTTGTTCAGGGTTTGGCAATTTGTGCTTATCGCTCAGCTTTATTTGCTTATCCCTATATAATTTATCGAATATAAGGTCAGCTTTGGTCACATCGAACGAGAACGTTCTAGCCTTTATGTTTCCATCCTTTATGGGCTCATCTTTTCCCCGATGGTCTAGGCTTGGCCATTATGGGACAGGTATATGTATCCCCTTTTACCAATTCGGCCAAACACATTTCAGCCTGATCGTATGATTCGTCGTCGATGGTATGAACGTCAAAATTTGGGTCTCTGTAATAAGTCCCTTTAGTGAAATTTTTCATTTGTTCTTCTTCTCTTATCAGTCACTCATACCTAATTACATTCGCACTCAACTGGAAAAGGTCAGGAAATTCCTTGTCCTGGAACTTCTTTTTTAAATCAAAACTCAAGCAGCCTTGTGCGATCTTGACAAATTCTTTTTCGGGCAGAGGTATAAAACACTTGCTTCTTGCTGTTTTGAACTTTTGGAGAAAACTTTCTGCCTATTCATTTGGCATTTGACGTAGATTCGCCAAATCAGCCAAAGTGACTTCAGACTTAGTTTTGTAAAACTGAGCGTGAAACAACTGTTCCAGTTGTTGCTATATTTGAACAGAGTTCGCTGGCAAGTTGATGAACTAGGAGAAAGCTACTCCTGTTAACGAACTGGGGAAAAGTCTCATTTTATGGTAATCTGTTACATCACCACTTTGCAACGTGAATCGCCCTATGTGTTCTAGAGTAGACACCTCTCCTAAGCCGGTAAACAGTGAGAATTCTGACACTTTGTACCCTCTAGGCCATGGATATGCTTGGTCTATCCAATCAGGATATGACTTTGTATACGTCGGCCTGATGACAGGACGCACCCCAAAAGCCATCTGATCCTGCACGATTTCCATAATCTGGTTCCTCAACATGACATTGGGATCATATGGAATTCCTACAGGCTGATTAACCGATTGATTTACATGAGGCCTGATGTTTGGTCCTTGATTGGCAACAAAATTACCATAGTTAGGGCCATTACCATTAGCCTGGACATCTGTTCCCTCACTACCACGTGGAATATTCTGTCAATTGTTTAGGACATTATCTCTCACGTTTGGATTACCCCCCCAAGTTAGGCATGCCATTACCATTATTTTGATTTGGCACTGTAGTACCCCCTTGGTTTGAAGTAGAGGGACCAGAAAGCGGTTCTACCCCTTGATTCGGATTTAGGACAAAGGGATTATATCCCACAATTGTCCTGGTTTGAAAGTGGTTTGTAAGAGGTATAGCCGGTTGACATATTTGGCCTACTAACTTATTCATTGTTTCGTTTAATATTTTTAGCTGTTTGGCCATATTGTCATAGTGTGCATTTCCATTTTGTGTAAATCTTTCCATATTATGAATACTTCGAAGATTTACCTGTTCAACGACATCTTGCGTGAGTTCCCCAAGTAATGCACGCATGGTTCGAGGACTCAACTCCGTCATTGGTTCGTAACGACTCTTACTGCTCTGATTTTGTCCATCTGTTCGTGGAGAGGCATGCTGCTCCTCATATCGCTCGATTACAGACTGGATTCCTCCCTGACTTGCTCCTTCCTTGTCGGATCTCTGAGGCATATTGTTTCTCCTTTTGTACTTTCAACACCTAACACCACTGTTCCACCGGGCGTGCCAAATTATTTCGCGCGGGTTAAGTCGCTAACAATTAAAAAGGATCAAACGATTGTGTAAGGGACGAAACCTCTTGAGACAAAGTCCCAAAAAGGAGTGTTCTTTTATTGGCGATGAACTTTACAATTGGAAATGAAAAACAACGTGCCTTCAAGGGGCGCAAGCACACGAGTTACTGAAAGAAAATTGTTTAAGTCTAAAAAAACTAAGGAAATGAAAATTACATGTTCTCTGTTCGAGAGTTTTGGATTCGGTCTCTTGCTTCTATGTTGTTTCTCCCTTTTATATTTCATAGACGATCTTTGTGATTAACTGCTCTAAAAACTGCTTGATCGTCCTATAACTATCCACTTTCTTCGTAGTGGCCATTTTATCATGAAAACTGCCTTTTAACTGCTGTCATTACCTTTCATCGTTCAACCGCTTTCGATTGAATTCTTTGAGTCGGGGAACGTGATAGGGCTGTTTTAACAACTGCCTTGATAACTGCATTTCTTGATAATCACGACGCGTTATGTCTGTTGATACCTTGGGCGACTTGAAGGTTTGGACGAGAATAGAATAACAGCTTTGGGCGACCGTATGACACTCTATTCGTTCAGATTCTGGGCGACTTACAAACTTGGGCGATGGCATTACAGCACTCTTGGGCCCCCTTATTTGGGCCTTCACCTTGATTTGTTCGATTGGACTCCGTTCTTTGGGCTATCTGATTTGAGGATCTTCCAATTGGGCTTTACTCCTTGGGCCGTTCGATTTGGGCTGAATTTTTATGTGTCAACAGTAACAAGACATCTTCGGGTTTTAAATCTATCTAAAATGTTTACAATTCAATAATATTTTCACATTTGTAGAGTAGCGCCTTATATTTTTGTTATGTGAATGCTTTCCAAAAATACAAGAAGATTTTATTCTTTTTATTTATTATTATTATTTTTTTGATAGTAAATTATTTACTCGTGCCACGGGGCCATAGAGTATATCATCGAAAGTTTACCAAATTATAATGCAGGTTAATTTTATATTTACTATCAGTTGTCACTTGAGCAATTCAGATAAAGGTGTTTAAAACGAGTATAGCTAATTTATGAAGAAAATAATTGAACCTTTGATTTCTTAATTCAAGGTAATCTGGTGATTTACGCGTTCACCTGTGTTTGAACATAATTGATTACAATCGAAAAAAAAAATGTTCAGATAGATTTTTTTTTTTTTTTTTTTTTTTGGGGGGGGGGGGGGGGATTGGATACAACATGTTCAGTCCCCAGTTTATTGTCATCCTAGGTCAAAAAAATTTAATCTCTTGAGAAAGCTAAAGAAGTTAGATGGAGAAAACAAAAATGCACACCTGGGGTCCATCTTAAAGTCAACCTTAGGAGTTGTCCAAGCTTTTATAAGTTGATTTATATTTCGATATTAAATCGATGTGAGATTTATCCCTTAACATACTCCTACAAGATGGCGGTTTATTTGAGCATGCTTATCTTGAAATTCATGTACTCATTACTGAGTTATAATCGGATCGAATTGCTCGTTGAAATTTAATGTGCTCTAATACCATGTCAAGATTTAGAGTTCCAATTTAAAATTTCAAAAAAGCGAAGTCTAAACCCTTATATATTGTTTATATTTCGATATTTAGACATTGTGAGATTTACCTCTTAACAACACATTCTATTTTACAATAAATACATTTTTGCCAAAATAATATATTCGTGCAGTCTAATTACTTCAAAGACACAGAAAAGGATTATTACATACTTCTAAATTATTCACTGAAAATTAAATTATTGCTTGCAGAAAGTTCCATGTAGCCGGTAGGAAAACTAGTAGTCGCTTTCCTTCCATCCGCCATATTCTTCTTCTTCTTCTTCAACAGTTTTTTGCTGTAATCAAATAATTAACATTGATCAAACCTTGTACACCAGGAATAGATTGTTATATTCTACTTCTTAGAAAATGAAAAAGCAATTAATTTCATCTGATCAATTCATAGAGTTTGAGGGACATTAGAAAAGGGTACCTTTGCAGTGAAAGTAATTCCTACTTGAATCTCTCCGTAATAAATTTGATCGGTGGAGACAACTCTATATTTTTGAGGATGAATTTCAGCCTTTCCTTCTTCCACCCCTATTTTTATAAGGTCTTTCACATAAATCCTACAATGCATTTAGTCTATGGTAAATTACACTGGACTAGAAAAGAATAAGATTGAATGTATATTAAAGAATATGTGCATTTGATAAATTCCATAATGTCTTACGTTGCTTGCCCAAGATAATCATCTGCACTGAAGGTGTCGTGATCCATTATCTTGAGCACGAGTTCGTATTGATTGTCATCTGTCAATGGAGAGTCAACCCTGAACTCGAACTTCTCATTCCATACTGGGCTAGTACCTTTTCTTGCACATGCATTATATATATATATAGTGAGACTCCTCTATAGTGATATTTATGTAGGAATAACCTCTATATGTTCATAAAAGATTATGGCCCCAACTTGGGTTAGTTTTAAATAAGAATAAATTTCACAGTGTAATAAGTTATAATTTTTTTGCTTCTCGTCTTTAGAAACTTGCCCCCTCATAGTCGTACTTATCATATTAAAATTTTAAGATGACATAAAATATTTATCTAAGTAGTTTCGGAGAATGGAAAATTTAGACTATTAACAAACTATGCATATTTTGAACACTACATAGATATATATACTAGTTATTTGAAATTATGTTTATTTCTTTTATCAATGTCAATACCTTGAATTTGAAATGTTCCATAAATTAATTGTTAATGTAGTGCGTTTTAGAGAACTTTTTAAGTGGCATGTTGGACAGGGTATGTTAAGAAGTGAAATTAGTTAAATTTTGTTTGTGTCACAATACAAAAATGATTATACAATGACATCTATATTTTTTGAGAATTCTTATATGATATATTGGTTCTAGATTTCATGTTACATAAAATAGTTAATTTTTATCAACCTAAATTATGGAATGAGAAGTGAGAAAAGATAAGTTTAAACAAGTTCAAGCCACATTAATTTCCTTGCAAGTAAAATATTCATCTTACTTGAGATAACTAACCTAGGTATTGAAAAATTATCTTTCTCTTTAAACTCAACGAGCTAAATGTCAACCCATTATATTTGGGATTTTATTTATTTATTTATTTATTTATTTATTATATATATATATACTCAAGCTTGATTCTATTCAACTGAAAAATTAGCTCATTAAGAAATTAAATCAAACCCAAAACTTGAACTCGATTAAATCTTATTTTGTATTATATGTTTTTTGTGGAACATGAAAATATATGAATTTGGAGTTCACCTTTGGCAACGGTGCTCTTGAACTCTTGTTTTCTGTACTGAAGCAAAACATATGGATCTATTCCACCTGCAAAGTTATAATAAATATACATCAAATTATTTTTCATCGCATTGACTAGCTCCTTTTTTAGGTGCTCTTGATTGTCTTAGGATTCGAAAACTAATCAACATTTAAGAAAATAAACATATGTAACAAATGTATTCGTTGGTGAAATTTACATATGCAAGGACTCTTCTTTCTTTCACGTAACTTTATAAATGGAAAATGCTTGAAAAGCTCATGAATTACAAAAAGATGATCAAGAAATTCGTTTTTTTTTTTTTTTTTTTTTTTTTAAAATAAATTTTAGGTTTTATAGAATTTCCGTGGGTTCAACCCTTCATCTGGATTTCAATATCAAAGTAGAACTCAAATCATTAATGAGAAATAAGAACAAATTTTTGTCTTCTTCATTTTTTCCCTTTAATTTTTGAAGAAATGCATGATGTAATAATCTCATCAGATCAGAATTAAAGATAGAGCCATCCATACCTAAGAAATCAGTGTTTTTGAGACTTTTAGCACTCACCAGCTTCACCTCCATTATTCCAATCGCCATCTCTCTAAGACTGCGAAAATATATTGTTCGAAGAGATTAGAGTCTCAGTGTCGAATACAAATTAAAATAAGTGAATCTTTAGAACAGTTCTATAATGTTTGTCGGACTCAATTTCTGAGGGAGGCTTCATTTTATAGGCAAGAGGCTCGACAACAGTACGTATTGGCGGCTTTTTTCTTTTCTTTTTTTTTTTTTTTTTGGTGGGGGTGGTGGCTGGGGGTTGAACTATCGTGATCTCCTTTCTTTCTTGACATCTTCCCATCTGAACCAGATGATAGTTATTTAACACATGGTTATTTCCTATCTCATTCTTTTAGTTTCCTAGAATAGATTAGGTAAAATTATTTATCATGTCTACAGTCTAAAACTGCACAAACAGGCGACCAAAGAGAGTAATCCCCCACCCCCAACCCCACAAAAAAATAAAATAATAATAATAATAGTAATAATAAATAAATAAATATAAAGGTTAAAAAGGAAACGAGTTTATTTATTTAAATTGTTTCTACAACATAGTACCCTTCACCACAAAAGTATATGTTTTTTTTTTTTTTGATGATCTTATATATAAGTAATTTTCATTGAATTCGAAACATATATAGTTATGACATATTGACACTATGTCGAAATATTTTAAATAATTAAATTGTGTCTCCAAAGCCCATAGTTTGCCCAAAGTTTTTATCAGATATTTTCCATTAATCCCATTAACTTATTTAATTGGCTCCTCCATACGATTTCCCAAACTACCTAAACTTCGTATTTATTTAATCCCGTGGAGAATAATTGATTAAGAAGTTACCAGTGACAAATAGATAAAGTATATATTTTAATTTTTCTAATTGCAACATGATTAAAAAAGTGTAACTTGCTAGAAAAAGTAAAGAATATTTGGACGGTAATAATTAACCTACTCCATTTGTGTTGAATTTTCAGAATTCGACCTTAACCAGTTAAGCTAGGTCCCGTTTCTCATTAAACGACAACCTTATTGGCGGTGTATTTTTTATTTTTTATTTTTTTCCTTCCCTATAGCTTCTGCATTTTTTTATTTTTATTTTTATTTTTTTTCTATCTATAGCTTCTGTTTAATCAAGTTTGGGCGGCTTTTGCCTAGTGATTCTTGACAACATAGTATATATGCACTTACTCAGAAAAATTTCGTAGAAAAAATTCTAGTTAAGGAAAAAGAGTGGTTTATCCTTTTGAATACATTACGAAAATTGTCTCATTAAAAACTTTGAGTGAAAAAATCATGAACAAAACCTTGATCATGACAACAACAACAAAAAAAAAAGAGCACAACACGTATTTACTTGCCCTCATGATAATATCACTTCTTATAATATATGATTTAGGCATAATAAATTATTCAAAAGTATATATGTTATTGTATCCATCACATGATAACTTATCTATTTATATAAGTTTTTCCGAAGTTAATTATGTTAAGAGTGCAAGTCCACAAGCATCAGATTTCTTTATTAAGGTCAATTTTGCTAGGATTGCATTCTTTTATTTAGTAAATTATTTTTACTTTGTTATTCTTTGATGAATTTTTTTTTTCAAATAGTTCATAATATGAAATGCTACATTATGTGTTATAAAAGGAGTGTTGTCAATAACTTTTTCCATTCAATTCCTTTTCTTTTACCATAACGATATAACTTATCGAAATATCTTAATTTTCAATATTTCATATACCCGAACCTCTTCAAAATTTTACACTTATCGAAATATCTTAATTTTCAATATTTCATATACCCGAACCTCTTCAAAATTTTACAATTTGTTATGCCTATATACTTACTAAGAGTATATGCCTTCTCAATGGATTATATTTATTGTTTGCTCTATTCTTTTGGGAGATTTTTATCTTGGATTCTAATGTCATCATGCTTTAGGTTTGTCATTAATTTATCAAATATAATGTTAACACTTTAGTGCAATGTGGTGTGTTATCAAGGGCGAATCCAAGATGTTGAACCAGTACGGACGGCCGTTGATAGTCGGCCGTAATAAAATATTAAGAGCTCGTTTGATGTCATTTTTTGTAAAAAAAATGTATTTTGAAATAGTGATTTGATGAAGAATATGTAGTTAAAAATAAGAAAAAAATTGAATTTGCGTGCAATATTATTTTATTAAAAATTGTTTGATCGAAAATAAGGGAAAGAAAAATATATTCTGAACTAAATGGGAATCAAATAAGGCTAAAATTTAAATAAAATAATTTTTTATTGAAGTTGAACATATAATTTCGTTATAAGAATAAATCGTACTCACCAAATGATATTATTATTTTGTATAATTCAAAGAAAGATCATGGTGTTAATAATTTTACAATTGACCCGCTAAAATCTAACATATATTATCTTTTTCAAATTTGGTACCAAAACTCAGCAAGTGTCTTAATGGTCAAACTTTCAATATATCTTTGAAAAGCTCACAAGTTTGATTTCTCACTAGTACTTTCCTTATTTCAATGGTTTTTGATAAATATTGTATAACTAAAAATGTTATACAATATATTGGTGGACAAAAGTTTCGAACCCCAGACCTCTAAGAAACAAATGCAAGCGCTAGCCAACTTAGTCAGAAGGAATGGTTGAAACAAAAATGAATTACTAGTAATATATCCTAAATATTTGTCCATTCTCAGCTAAAAATAAAAAATAAAAAATAAAAAAATGGCTCCTAGCGAATCCAACATACACGGTCACGGGGGCTCGTCAGGTACTGAATCCACCAGTGTGTGTTATGTAAAAGTATATTTCAATTTAGAACTCCACAAGTGTACGATTCGTTAATAAGTAATAAAATAGATGTGAATATAAATATCATCCCACAAGAATTGATTTAATTAGTTCAACTTCTATTACCGTGACCTTAACCAAAACAAGAATGATGAAAATGTTTGTCGTGAGAAAATTATAATTAAAGTAAGTTATGTATGCAATAATGAATGAATTAACTAAATTACATGCAAGTTATGCTTGATGCGAATTGATGTGTTTAATAAATGACATACGTACTAAGATTGTGAATCCCCTGCAATAATTATTTTTAAACTTAGTTTTACACTTTGACAATACGGTTGAATTTTGACAAATTAATGTTCCTATTAATTTTCAACAATCTCTTGAGTAATATTGAACATATTATCATGTACGACCCGACTATACTTTTTTATGACGGATGCAAATACACATGAACGTATAAATTTTTATGAACACTTAAAGATTCACATAGAATATAGTGGTTTCTATCCCTTATTGGACCCTATGACGATTTATACCATGTCGAGCATATTCTCCTTCTTTCAAATGCATGAAACAAGCCAACAAATTCACACAGTCACATGCACAATAATTGTGGAGAAAATAAACTCATATGAACCATTCAAATTTCAAAAACGTGTTTTAATGTCAAATATATAAAATTAAAAAGTTATGGTTCACCATTCTCTTAGCACATAAAAATCTAGTCTGGCATGGTGAAAATAAGAAAACAAAAAGAATATTGAAGAAACGATATCACCAATTTAAATCTTGAATTGAATCTTCGCGTCTTGGGGTCGACCTTCGTGTTTCTTGCCTCCTATGCTCTACAACCCTTATGAATGTGTTAGAATGTGTTCCTCCTTTCTTATGGACGTCTCTAGGGTTTTAAAAGACATCCCGAGATTTGTTTCAATAAGAATTTCAACCAGATAAGGGAATTAGAATTTTTTTCGTCGCGATTGGCTTGAGTAGTCGCCCAGGCAAAACCCAGGCTAAACTTTAAGCCTTGTTATTTGTTCTTTGTGGTTTGGCGGTCATCTGACCTATATAATTGGGTAGTCGCCTAGTTTATTAACTTTCAAATGTTGCGTTTTAATTCTCGAATGTCGTTTTCTCGTTTCTTGACATCTTTTTCTCATTTCTTCTACTTCCAATACTTAATGTCTTCTATAACTTACAATATTTTGAAAACCGGCCCGGATGTTGACTCGGAAAGCTAAAGGGTCAAGGGTCGAAAGGTCGAACTAGGGTCGAACAGATTTTAATAAATAAATAAATAAATTATATACCACGACAATTGACAAAATTAAATTAATTTCAAATTAACTTAATATGCATGGGCAAAAGCACCCAATAATGATTAAATTTGGGTACATTTAATTTTTATCTTGTTTTATGGTTAATTGTTTAATACTTTCATAGTATTTTATTGTGTTAATATAATAAAATTAAATAAAAGATCACATAAAATGGAAAAAGAAAAAGAGAAATTAATTTAAAAATATAAATAATTTACAGGAGTATGATTATCCCCTTTTTTAAATAATGTTATTGCCTTTTAATTCCCACTGGGAATCTAGAAACCAAAATTTTTTTTTAATTAATTCCCACATAGAAAACAAGCATTGAGGAGTTGACTGGTATCTACAAATATCTTTCTTGATCGCACATCGGAAACTTAAGAAACAAGCACTGAAGATGAATTCTATAAATAAGTGGGCCAAAGCAGAACTGGACAGTTATTGACCATTAATTTCTGGGGTTGCATTATGAAAGCAATATTTATTAAAATAGTTAAACAACCCGAAAAAACTGGTTAAATCAGTTACGGTTCATTTGGTTAACGGATTTATTGGCTAAAATACCGGGTTTTTACCGGTTCTAGTTAAAATGGGTTTTAATCATTAACCAAATCGGTTATTGGTCCGTTTCCCAGGTTTCTCAGTTGAACCGGTTGGTCTGATCCGGTTTTCAAAACATGGATAAATTAGCCTTCAAATCTATCACATCTTCATTTTGCCTTTTGGATCATCTTTTGGTTATTTTCACTTTGGTTCCTGCACCTTTGTTTTCCTCCATTTTGGTCCTTTTTCGCTTGTTTTTTTTCCTAGATTCTGCCACTTTTATCAATGTTGTCCTACGAAATGTAATTTATATAGAATTAAGTCATATTTCGACATATTTATCAACAATTATCCATATTTTGTGGTCAAATAAGTGTGTAAAATACTTATCATGGTCGAGGGATTTTACATACATTGCACTATCAAAAATCATTTTATAAAATATATTGTGCCTGTCACACCCCATTCACATAGATAACCATACCTAACAAT